TCTAAGGACCAAAAATAGCAGATGCTGAAAAAAGAAAGAAAACATAACTAAGAGGTAGCATCCTATTAAAGAAGCTTTTGCAGAGAAAAGGCATTTTTAAAAAATGTAGACTCCTGAAGGAAGTAGAACTCATTCACTCTTCAGACTTTTCTATCCAACTCCTACTTCAGCTTCTTTCTCACCAGAGAGAAACCTTCACCCTGAGCACTGTTCTCCTGATTGGTAACTTCCTAACCCAGACCCTAAGAATTCTTTCTTAAAGTGCCCCAGCCATGGTCACTTCATTTCCAGGTAGATTTGTTCTCTGGACTTCCCTAATCATCAGCCACCTTGCTCTTTCCTTGAAACTCTTCTCATCCCCCACTCCATTATAATGTAAGCTCCTTGAAGACAAGCACTGTCTTGTGTGCTTGTATTTATTACATAAGAGCTTAATAAATGTTTTATCATCAAGCTATCAATCATCTCTTTACCCATCCATCTATCCATCCATCTCTCTCTATCTACCACAAGGAAGCTTACAAAGAATGGGAATTATATCAAATTAGATATTAGGGATATAAAAAATGAGGAACATCTTGCAAGGGACCCCAAAAAGTAGTGTGAAACTTTACTGGCCATATATTGAACTTTCACCAGTTGTTAGCTATTTGCAATTATTCTGTTCTAACCTTGCCTGAGTTGATATCTAAGAGCATATACTCTGTATAGACTCTGAATAATGACAATACATTAAGGGGGAGGAGCCAGCAGTATTAGCAATGAACCATTTGACAATCATGGAGCAGTACCATCAAGGAAAGAAACTGAGGATAGGCTGGGAGTATAGGGCAGGTGAATGGGATGGACCTGACCCTCAGAAGCCAATTCTGGAAGAAATTCAGGCACACTCTGACACCTAGTGAAAAGGTTTGTTCAGGGATGAAAGAGAAATAGCAGAAGGTTGGGGGGAATCTATCTGGGAAGGATCAATGAAAGGCATTTCTCTCCTCCTTTTATTCCCTGGGAGATATTTTCCCTTCTCTTTGCTTCTTTGACCTGGGTGTCTTCCCTTTTTTTCTAGAAAGACTTCCTTCCTTTCACAATTTATACCCATCTTTTAAGTCCCTGCTAATTTCAGTTCTTCTATGATGTTTTCCCAGACCAATTCAATTAATAGTGATTTCTTCCTCTTCTGAATTCTTGGCTTATTGTCTTACTTGCTGTCTCTATAAGTTCACAGTACTGTGTGATATAGCTTGTTTTGTTGTCTTATATGATTATTTAAATGTTTCCTGTGTTTACATCTTACCTTTATGGTAATAAGCTTCTAGAGTAAGGTCCTTAACCTCTGATCCATGAATTTTTAAATTGATAACCACATTTCAGCAAAATTTGTTTCCTTTGTAAAACCACCTATCTATTTTATGCATTTGATAATATCATTATGAGAAGGGGTCCATAGACTTTATTAGAATGCTGAAGGAGTCCGTAATAGGAGAAAAAAGGTTACGAATCCTAGTCCAAGAAAGGAGACATTATGTCTCATTTGTCCTTGTATTCCACATGGCAAGATATACCATAAGTGCCCAATGAATAATTAGCCATTTTAATAGGGGTTGAGGGGTAGATTAAAAGGCTGGTTGCTCTCCATCAAGCACTGTGCTTTGGCACTGGGGATACATCCAAAAAAATGTAAATACTCTGCCCTTAAGGAACTTACATCCCTTTCAGGGGTTGAGAGCAACAAAGACATAGATAAGCAAATACGAAATATAATAATAGGAACATTTACACAGCTGTTCAAGGTTTGCAAAGTGCTTTACAAATAATATCGCATTTGATCTTCATCACAGAGAGGAAGGTGTCATTATTATTCCTATTTTATGTGTCAGGAAACCGAGGCAGAGAGATTTGAAGTGACTTGCCCTAACTATGTGAGGCCAAATTTGAATGAAGGTCTTCCTTACTCTGGGTTCTGTACTCTCTTCTCTACACCAGTGAGCTGCCTATCCTTAAAGAAATTTCCAGAGAGGGTGGTTAAGATAGGAGATTTGATAAGCTTTTTGAAAAAAAAAAAACTAAAACTCTAATCTAAGTAGTTGGATAGATTAGTAATATGAACCAACTTCCTTGAGAGTAGTTATTTGTAAAAAGTACTGATGATTAAAATGATGGTGACAAACTGGACATTATACATAGGAGGAAAAAGTGTGACCAGAGGATGTAACACTTTCAGGCGTAGAAAATTCCACCCACAGAATGCTTCTTCTCTCTGAAAAAAAATTTTCTGCGGTTGTGAAAATGGTTGCCAAATAACATTTTTAGCCAAAAAATTCTGTTTTCATGTAGACAAAGCGTAAGCTTTCTTTTTGAACCCTGAAGTCTCCTCACAATTTCAATCTATGATTCCACAATGACCTATGACCCTAAATGATTATTGCTGGATTCCATGCCTGGGGTTTTTTAAAAGACATTATAGAATAACTATGAAATATAAGAATACGCAAAATCTATGAAGTCATGATTTTTATCATTGACCAGAAACAAAGGTAACTCACAGCTCAGAAAAATCATGGCATTTATTTATGAGACAACTAAGTGGCACAGTATACAGCATGCTGGGCCTGGTGTCAGGAAGACTCATCTTCCTGAGTTCAAATCTAGCCTCAGACACTTATTAGCTGTGTGACCCTGGGCAAGTCACTCAACCCAATTTGCCTCAGTTCCTCATCAGTAAAACAAACTGGAGAAGGAAATGGCAAACCACTCTAGTATCTCTGCCAAGAAAACCTCAAATGGGGTCACAAAGAATCAGACATGACTGAACAATGGGTTTGTTTGTACCAAAGCCTTAGCTAGTTCAGACTGTAAAAGGTATTTTTACACCTCCCTTTATACCTAGAAAGGGATATGCCATATTTTATCAAACTGTTAAATTAGTTGGTTGGTTGTTGTCCTTGATTCTCGACAAGGACCAAAATGTTGGAGTTAAGGTACAGTGCGTCCAGTTGTGGCTGCTGAGACCAATACAAGGTTGGAAGGCTCTATCACAGGTTGGGAACAAATAGTCCATGTGAACATCTGGAGTGAACATGTCTCTAAATTAGCACATCTCACATTTCTTTTGGGCTACTGTAGCTCTGCTTTGCTCATTGAGCACAGTGCCTTCTTTAGTGGAGGCACACCATGCTGGGTAGCCCTGTGCCAGTGTCTCCCATGTCACACAATCTAGTCCAAAGTTCTTCAGAGAGACAAATGAGTAGGTTTTCTAGGAATGCAAAAATTTTCTATGTATAGCCCACATTTATATCATTCTTCACTTTTTATTCTAAAAACAGAGATTGAAGGATCCTCCAGAATTTCATTAGAAAATTGGTCACAGTCAAATTATAATTGATAAATAAGCACCAAATCTAAAAAAAAAAAGTTAAAACAACAACAAAAGCCAAACACAACTCTTCTTTTGGAAAACTATGAAAAACATATTTAAGATCCACATGGGGAGGATCTTAAGAGAATAAAAGACTATTAATGTACTTGTTTGAGAACAGAGGGGTTAGACAATCCAGTCTAATTAAATCAGCTAACTTAAAGGGTCTAACTACAGTGGTCTGATTGCTAGTTGTTTTGGTGCCTGGAAGTAACCTAAATGCTTTAAAACTACACTAAGTCTTTTGGAAATCACCAGTAAGTTGCCTTCTCTTTTACGAATACAAACATTTCAGGGAAGAGTCTTATTTTCTTCTTTAACATAGTATTAGTAAGAACTTAATAAATGCTTTTTCATTCATTCATTCCTTGCTTATGACTAGATTGTTAGACTGGGAGCCAAAAATTCTACTCCTGTGATTTTAGGTAACTCAATTTCATTTTTATATCTTTATCTGTATGAAAAACATCATGAAATAAGGAATAAAGAACCAGCCTTGGAGACAAGAATTTCTTAGTTTAAGCCTTGCCTTTCTCTGACACATACTAACTGAGTCACCATGGGTACATCACTTAATTTCTCAGAGCCCCATGCAACTCTCTAAAACTATATTATAGATTATTTGCTTATCTGGATTGACAGGGAGAATTTTCATATTTGAGCTCCCCCCACAGATGAAATCATAAGCTTGTACCTCATCCACCTCTTTTCCTCCATAGAAAACTCTACTTATAAAAATGATTTATAAAATAACAGTTACCATCTACCTAACTTACAGGGCTACGAGCAGGATAAATGATTGGTAAAACACCTTGTGAAATTTTTTTGAATAAAAATGCTGAGAGCAAAATCAGTCATAGGCAAAATGCTAAAGCAAGCCAAGTTTATCTTCTGTGTTTCCTTCATCCCTCTCTTTAAGACAAGTAGTGCCATCTAAGCTAGGCTACCTACATCTGGCCACTTAGTATGATATTGCATCTAGATCTGCCTTCTCAGGCAATACTCAATGCTGTTGATCTCTTTCCTGCCCCTCTCTCCCCCAAAAAATCCTTTCCTAAGTCTCACTGCCTCAGAATGTCTGGAAGTTAGCATGACAGCTAATCTTATAATCTACTCTGTGGTAACATGTTAGGGATAATGGGTTATCCCTCTCATGCAACATATATGCCTTTAACAGGGGTCTCTGGGACACAGGTTTTGGCCAAACTTTTTTCTACTGGTGGGAAATTCAGGAACGATGACAAGCCACAGGAAAAAAAAAACTAGTTGGGGACTACTAGGATCTTGATATGGACCAGTACTATCTGGAAGGTTAAATCAGATGCTGAATCAGATTTTCTCAGGGCTTAAGCAGAGCCCTGGTTATAATTTAGGCACATTTAGAAGCCATATTAACTTTTTCACCCACTTAGCATAACTTAGGATATTAGAGACATAGCTGTTTTAGTGGCCTCATAGTCAAAGGTAGCCTAAATCCTGGTAGATTTAGGCACATTCTATGTCACAGAATTTGAGCACTATGTAGAAACACATATCTATATAAATCAAGGGCTTACTTTTATCATTATAATTACAGAAGGCACCATACCCGAAAATAAGAAGCCACAGTTTGTCTCTTCATGTTAGTAGTTTCCTCTGGATGCTTCATCACTTCTAGAGTGTCCACCTACAAACAGAACACCAGAAGAAAGTGATGAGAAAATAGATACTGGATCAATCTATGAGTTTCTCTAGAACCTGAAAGGCTTCATGGTCAGCCACTTGAGTGGTCTCAGTAATTGGCATCATAGTAGGTACAGCTATGGAGGAAATAGAGGAATGAGCTGTCTTAATGTTACATCTCAGTCTTCTCCAAGCCATGCTGCCCACCCTCTGGCCTTTTCCTGCTTCCACTGGACCTCAGTCCTGCTTCTTGGGGCCTTGGTTATGATTAGTGACTTGGTTATGATATGACTTTATCTTGACAGGTCCCTCGAGCCACTCTGTACTTTTAGGCTATCCCCAAAGCTATGCTGCTGCGTTTGTACCCTGTCATCATGCCCCCCCATACACTTTTGACCTTTTGTGTGTGGTCTTTTCCTAAAAGTGCCATAAACTCCTTTTGCACAGGGACTGTCTCACTCCCTTGTTTTGGCATCTCCAGTGCTTAGCACTGTGTCAAGCACATAGTAAATGCTTAACAAATGCCTTTTCATTCATTCATTTATTATGTTGTTCTCACTCCTGTAAAGTGTTTTCAAATGTAAAATAATTTCCAAGTTAACTCCATATTTTCCTATGTTTCAATCATTGAGATACATAGTAAAAACATGTAGATTTAAAATATGTCTAATAAGAGCATCCCATGATGTCAGGTCATAAGGAAAGATTTCCAGGTACAGAAGGATTCTACTATTTCTTTCTCTGTCCACAGGAAAAAGCACAATGTGCAGACCACCCCAGAAGACATGGAAAATGATCAATTTCTTTCTGTGACAGTCAAACTCTGAAATCATCACACCTCTCTAGTGATTAACTTGCATTTTAGAAATGTTCTCTCCAGTCTGAATATGGAGAACAAAATCTCTCAAAGGGCATAAGTGAACTAAAAGATTATCACTTATCTGTCACTCCTAACTGTAGTAGACCAGGAGCTTTCTTCTGAAAGAGGGAATTGTGAATGAAAATAATTATAGCTATCAATTGCAAGCAGATTATGTTGCTATATTGCAACTTGGGCAAATAAAACAAAAACCCAACCTCAAAACAAGCAAATATAAGAAGCAACTTGGTTTTCACAAAACATGTTAGCATTAACTTAGTCTATGGCAGGTTACATCCACTCTGAACAGGTGACATTACGAACTATGAACTTGAACTAAATATTGCCATTATCAGCACATGTGATGCACTCAATGGATCACACAATGGGCAGCCGCTTTTGAGGTATGGTAAGTTTTTTCCACAACCTTTCTCAACTCAAATAAAGGTACAAATCTTACCTTGAGAAGGTATTTAGGAGACTGCATGCAAGAGCCAAAGAAGGAAAAGGAAAGCTTAAATGTCATTTGATAAGGAAATCAATTCATACATAAGACCAGGAATCAAAACGGAAACAAATTTTCAAAAGTTACACATGAAATCTAGATAATTACACAGAGGATTAACCACATTGACTTGAAGAAAAGCCATGCTTTTACTCCAAATCTGGTTTGAATAAAATCTTAGTACAGCCTCTAGGTATATTTCTAGTTGACATACTAACATACATTGCATTTTTTTTCCTTTCAAGGACATCTAATTTTATGGTTTGGGCCTATAAAATGAAGGAATTGGACTATAGCCAGGAGTGGGGAACCTGAGGCCATCTCTACAACCCTTTCCAGGTCTAAGTCCTAGGATCCTATTTGGGAATAGCTTTGGGATATTCTCAGACTAATGTGCAACTCCCTGAGGGCTGAGGGTGAAACAATCCACAAAAACTTTCTGTAACATTCTTCATAAGTAGCCTGTGGCCTAATGGCCAATTAAGGCTTTGGTTGCATTAATATGCAGCTGAAGCAAAACTGTAACATTCAGTTTTGTTTGACTTTGTTAATGGGGTAAGAGGGAAAAGAGTCAGAGGACTGATCCTGGAGCAGAAAACCCTCATCTGGAGTTAACAGCAAACTTTCCACAAGCAGATTATCAACTGAGCTTCTTCCCTCTACAGCACCTCTACTGAACAATAGAACCCCAGCACTCTGAAAGCCCAGAGATGTTTTGGACAGCCCAGGCTGAAAAAGTTTGCAAGAAAGAAGCCTGAGGCATATTTAGAGGACATCATTGAGGAGGTAAAATGTCTTAGTTACCAGTCTACACCCCTCACATTTATGCTGTTCTCAGGGATCTCTGTTCCGGTCTGGCCCTTTCTCTTCTAGCTTCTCATCTTATTACAGATTTAGGAAGAGTCAGGATACCAAAGTTCAGGGTAAGGAAACATTAGAGCACACAAAACAGGAAAAATAAAACAAGTCAGCTTTATTGAGAAGTAATATTCACACTAAAGATGGGCAGTTGGGGACAGTGGAAACAGGTCAGATCCACTGGGGGCCTGATGGAATTGGGCACCCAGACCTGGAAAGTCTGATGGTGTTTTGTTTGTTTGTTTAAACAGGGTTCTCATCCAGGTGGAGCAGGACTAGGCAAAGAGAAGAGAGAGGGAGGAGCCAGACCTGGGGACCTGGGGCTGATTCACGGTGGGCCTGGCGGAATGGAGAGAAGACTCCTAGAGAATTGGCTAGTTGATATTCAGATTCCCAGCAGGCAGGACTCTTCCTGTGGATCTTACTTAGATGGGGTGACTTAGGGGTTTTAAGATTGCCTTGGGGAGTCTTTGTTTATAGTTCCTCACTTCTGACAACACAATTTACTAGCCTGGAACCATTTCCCTAAGGATCCTACTCCACTAAGGCAAACCTAGTTACCCAATTAATTCATTCCTGCTAATGTGCTAATGGATGCTGAGGGATTGACTCAATACCCTTTGGAATCAAACATTTTCATTTTGATCTAGCTTTGGGTAGAAACAAGGCCTTACTCCAGAGGAATTGGGAAAATTTCAGGCCTCTGCTCAGCAGCTTACAGGGGAAATTCATTCATTCATTGGCCCCCTTGAGTCATTCAGTTAAATGACTAAGAAAGGATTCTACCATAGGCTGTAGGTGAATTGGTTTTAGGCAATTTGATTAAAAATTTGATTCTATGGTTCTGTGAAGGTGTAGATGAGTTGGTAGGTGGGACAGTGCCTTGAGCATAGAACTTGGAATCAGAAAAACTTGAGTCCACATTTTGTCTCCAATGCTTCCTAGCTGTACAACCCTGGGCAGCTCATTTAACCTCTCTGTGCCTCAGTTTCCTCATCTAAAAAATGGAATGATAATAGCACCTACTTCACAAGGGTTATTCTGAAGATCAAATGAGTTTATATATATATATATATATATATATATATATATATATATGTGTGTGTGTGTGTGTGTGTGTGTGTGTGTACATAAAGTGCTTTGTAGAACATAAAGTACTATGATAAAGCTGTCTATTACTATTATTTTTATGAGTTTAAATTGGCACCATTGAAGGGAGTATTCATATTAATATGGAGTATTTATATCTATTATAATAATTGTGGAAAAGATCTAAAGGTCTTAGTGGACCATGAGTTCAATGTGTGTTAGTGTGACATGGTAGCCAAAAAAGTAAATGCTGTCTCAGGCATCATTAAGAGAGGTATAATAGCCAGAAATAATGAGATTATAATCTTGTTTTCTACTATGGTCAGCCCATATTTATTGTGTCCAGTTTTATGTTCTACATTTTAAGAAAGTCTAGCTGGAAAAGAGCCACCCCGATAAGAGTGAACAGACTAGAGAGTATGTTATATGAGATCCAATTGAAGAAACTCTGGCTGTTTAGCCTAGAGAATAGAAAATATAGGAGTGGCATGACCATTGCCTTCAAGTATTTGAAGAGTGACTTGGAGGAAGAAGGATTAGACTTCATAGGCTAGCCCCACAGAGGGCAAAGTTAGGAGCAATGTATAAAAATTTCAGAGAGGCAGATGTTTCAGAGAACCAAATTTCATTTTGAGGTAAGGAAAGCTTCCTAACAATTAGAATTCTCCAGAAGCGACATTTGCTAAACTAGAGAATAGTGGAACCCTCCCCTCTACCTCCACCAATCTGTCTTCTAGAAATATTCCAGCAATGGCTGAATGGCTAATCGCTGGTATGCTACAGAGTAGAGGCTTATCCAGGTATAATTTCAGAGGACATCTAAATGACTTTCTCATTAGATTGTATGGTTCTTGAGGGCAAAGGCTGTCTTTTGCTCCTTCATATCTCCAGTGCTTAGCACAGCACCTGGCACATAGTAAGCATTTAATAATAAGTATTTACTGATATTTGATGTTCTATGATTCTGCTTCTGTCTTTTATGCCACAGCATCTTCAGAAGACGCCTAAAGAATTCAAACCAAAATGACTGCCTTTAGAGTGTTTCTTCTTTGAGGTCAATTTTCTCCATAACGAAGGTGATCCTCAAAACACCAAAAGGCCAATCCAAGCAATTCACTTTCTTTTTTTTTTCAGCTTTTTGTTGAGGCAATCAGGGTTAAGTGACTTGCCCAGGGTCACATAGCTAGTAAGTGTCAAGTGTCTAAGGCCTGATCTGAACTCAGATCCTTCTGACTCCGAGGTCTGAGCTCCCAATTCACTTTCAAGGGAGAATTCTAGAGAGGGCATCATCTGACATTCCTGGTAAGACTGTAGGCAAGTCAGTTGGATGCCTATGAGTCTCAGTTTCATTATATGTAAAATCAGGAGTTTGAACAAGTTGGTGTTTGCGTTGGGTCCCTTCCAGTTTTACCTTTAGGATACAATGAGCTAACAAATACCTTAAGGGTATCAGGCTCATTCCTGTAAGAGAGGCAGCTGTTCCGAATCAATACGATTCTGCAGGCTCCAGTTCTTTGACCTCCAAGGTCAAATTTCTGGGGAGATATCATCCTCAAACTCACAGCACCCAGTTTCTGCACCTTTTCTCAATACTTTCATCCCAGTGTGAATCAAAAGGAATGATATCAAAGATCAGTTTTCTCTCCCACTAACATCCACAGCTCTTATAGAGTAGATTAATGGATAGAGGACC